GCGGGGTGTGGACAATTAGGTGTTTCAGTCATGCGGCATTGGAGGTAGCACAACAACTGGGGAATAGATAGTTGCTGAGCATCATCGCCACTCAAAATATTAAACCTAGTCTGCTTTATTCATTAAAATTAATATAAGCTAAATGCTTCCTAGTGAACAATTAATCACCCTCTTAATTCCCTAAGGGAATGCTTGTGACTTTTCAGTTAAATGTAGTAATTAACTGCATTGAAATATTACCGAAGTTAGGACGTCCAATGCTTGACTTAAATTTATCCTTCCACTTTTTAATGGTGGCTTTCGGGTAAGCGGCAAGCTTAGCGAGCAGGCATGTTACGAATTCATTTTTCGCACGAATGCGTGCTATGATGAATGTAAGCTTGTAAGCATTAACGTTGTTTGCGTTTAATTTCATTTATCCCATCAAAAATTGCTGCCAACATTGTTTTCATGAGCAAACACAGTAGCCTTGTCCCTGTAACTGCCACTGTATGAACAGAAAAAGCATCATGCTCGTATTTTGACTTTTTAATGGACTGACCTAACCGAAACAAAAGGGGGTGCTGTGTACAAAGTGGCGAGCCTCATGCTCACAACTTCGTGCCTGCGTTGGGATTCCAGAATGAATGGGTTTATAGTCGCCAGAGATCTAATTTTGGAAGGCATCATGCATCAAACTTGAAGACACTTGAATTGAGCACCAACGCAGCCGTTGAAAGGAGAAGGAGAAGATTTGGCTCTTGGTGGTCTTAGAGTTATTATTTGTGAAAACGTTTATGAAGAATGCGAGTTCTTTGCTCACTGGTTATGGTCCTGGTTTAAAACTGCACTTTGACGTCTTTGTCAGCATACAACTAGTGAATAAGCTGTGGAAGATAGAAACCAGGATCAGGTGTTTAAAAGAACACTTGGATAAAATAAAACAGTTGGCCACGTCCCCGGGATTGGTTCTTTTTAATCACTTCTGCCGCAGGATGCCTGGACTTCACACTGCTTCCCTGGATGCGAGTACTCATTTAAGAAAGGAAAGAGCAGCCCGCTTTCTGCATCAGATGAAATGGCAAACAATGATTTTAGAAAAGACCGTGTACCCACGATGTCATGTCGACATTACCATCGTGCAGCAAGCTCTAATGATCAAACTGTGCAGTTGCATGCTAACTTCACCACGTGCTAATAGAAAAATTTCAGAGTTGAAAAATGTCGTCCTTAACTAGTATTAGGTCTTCTATTATAAATTCCGTAAGGATATAATTCACTGAAGTTTACAAACGTAGTAAATTACTTGTAGTAAAAGTTTCTACGTCGCTGTGGTCATCATTGTTTCATTACGTTCATGCACCCGGAATGTTTTAGCACCATAAATGATCTTTTTACACTAGAGTAAACAACGACATGATATCAGCACGCGACGGCATATTTGCAGTTGATTTAGCAACCTGAGGCCACTTGATTATAATTTTGCAAGACTAAAGTCGGATTCTGCCAATTTCGCAGTTATGGAAAGAATTCTATTTTCAAAATTGACCAATCATTGCAACCGATTTAAGGTATGCTAGCTGAAGTTGCACAAATACCACGTGATTTGGAAAAGTGTGTGTTCAAGATTAAACTCGCCAATGAATCTATACGCATGTGAGTGGGCTTTACTTGGTTTAAACTAATCAATAAATGTCACATTTTGACTTACTACGGTTGGATTTGAAAGTAGCATAATTATAACCCTAACAAAGGGCTTTCAACTTAAAAGTTAAAGAAAATGTCTAATTGAGTTGCTAAGCCAAATTTCACGTACTTAATCTACATGAGTTAGTCTAAAACAAACACAATAACTGTTTGCGTAAGTCACGTAACATCAAGACATGTGCTTAATTTTTCAGCTAACAAAAAAGCGATCGAAATTTTTTTTATACCGAAAACGAAACGATCTACTTGAGCTGTGAACCTTGGTAAAAATGACGACAGCTTGTAGATTTTGTGGTGTCTAATTAATTAACATCTTAATGGAACACTGTGGGGAGGCTAGTTTGAAAAAAGAAAAACTAAATTGCACCGCAACATCGACATTCGCTGAACTTAATGGAGTCCTACGACATAAAATTATTTTTTTAACTTAAAATTCTATCAATGGATGCTGTGAGGGTTAACCAGGCCGCATTTTCTAGTCTACAAATATCGCCTTTACCAAAACAGATGAGTTTTCTTCCATCTTAGGCCACAAAGCAGGGTGTTAGGTCTCTTGTTAAAGAACAACCGCAATTTTTAAGCCAGACCTAACCGGGTGTATAGCTCTCTGCCAATTAATTATTCTCCAATCAAAATAGCCTTGAATGGACCAGATGTTGGTTCAATATTCGCCATTAGAATTTTTTTCTTTTGAATGTTAATGAGTGTAACTATCATTACTTGAGCCAAATTCAAAGGGCTAGTAGTGTGAGTTTTAGATATTCTAAATCCATAACATATGGAAAAATCATCGTCTTGGCCGCTTAATTGGGCTTAATGCCGTTTTTTGTAGCTGTTAAAATCTTGACGACTGTGAATGGATTGGGATTAAAGCACCGGCAGACCCGGTATTTTTTGCCTGGGATGACACTGACCATGGCTAGTTACTTCAAATCAATTTCCAGGAAATATGTAAGTCGAAGTTTTTAGATCAAAGAAAACCAAGCCACAAAGATTGCTTGACAAGAACATTTTAAAAAAGCCGTTCCGCTAAACTGACAAATGTTCATATTTCGAATCAACTAAGTAATATATCTTGCAAAAACACTTCTCATTTACCGGTTTCGTAAATAGCCTTCAGAGCCTTATTTTAATTAAAGTTAAAATGAAAGACTGTAGTTATTTTGAAAGGGTCCAAATCGCCTCAAACATTATCTACGTTTCTAAGTCACCGATTGAAAAAAAACCTAGGACAATTCAGAGCTGAAAATTAATCAAAAAGTAAATTATTCGGAACGTAAAATAGTTCAAAGTTGGCCTGCAGTCAAAATCCCAAAGGCCTATTTAGTTGTTTCCATTGCTGTATTTGAAAATAGCAATTAAAGTCTACGTGGTCAAAACAGGAACCGCTGACACTTGGCTACAGCACTCTGCCATTATGTAATGAGCTGGTGAGAAAGCAATTTCGGTTTTCACAAATGCCTCGCCTGTTTTTTTAAAGACTTCTTTTTTTAATTTTGGGACTTTTCCTTTTGACATTTGAGGTGTGTTGCATTCAGCAAGTAAACTGCTGCGGTTGGTGGATTTATAAGTAGAGTTTATGGAAACGATGGCATAACAAAACACACGTTTCAGAATTGGCTTAAAAAATTGGTTTGGAAGATTCGCCACTCTAACCTGATCAAGGCTCTGGTCGACACACTGAAGTTGATAACTGTAAAATCAAAGCCGTCTTTGTATATTCGTGCAAGAGGCGTCACGAAACCAATTGTGTCGCACACATCACGCTCACTTAGACTGTGAAGTGAATCGTGCTGATTCACACACTGTAATTATGTCGCCGCGACCTCAGACACGGACGCCTTTCAACAGCGTCCTAACCAGCCCTGGATACACGTCTGATCACCCTCCCCTGCTGCTCATTCCTGACAAGTGGCCTTCAAGTCACTTGTATTCTCGCTAGATTACCCCATCCGTACATGTCAACAACCAATATTCGTCACGCACGCCTTTGTAGACACAGCGACGTGACACATGAAAGACAACAGGATTGTGTCACCTGAGAAACGAGCTAACTTTCGCTGAGATCCATTTAGTTTAGCGACCAGAACAATCTGGCGGCCCAGGCGTGATTCAATGGCTGTGACAGGGTCTCACCAAATTTCCTAAAGTGGTTAAGAGAGATCCGCTTTACGCAGCGATTCAATAGCTGTGACATGAATCTCAAATACAACGAAATCCCCTTTTTGAAACCTAGTCGGGGCTGATGAGGAAACCTGGGTCGTCAGAAATCAAAAACGATCATAGCTTAAGCCTGATACCTGGCATAAACCACATCGAAGCCGAATTGCACAATAAGGTCACGACATCAATATGGGCAGTTTAAAGAGATCAGTTTTGAGCTGCTTCCAGAGAACGAAACAATCAATTCAAGTGTTTGCTGCCAATAAATGCTGCAACAAGATTCCGAAGCAATTAAAAAAGAGCCAAAATCGGCAGATTCCAAATGAGTCGTGTTCTGCTAAAACAATCCGAGGCTTCACACATGGCTGGCCACCAATAGAAAATAACTAATAGAATTTGGATGTTGAGAAACCCTTTGAATGGCAAAACTTTATTAATTTTGATGGCCTGAAATCGTGCATGGCTCATTCGCCGCTAATATGAGCTCCAGTTCCTAAATAGCAAAATCATAAGGATACAGAAATACGGTACGGTGCCACCAAATAAAATGACAATTTATAATTGATTCAAGTTCATTTTCTACTATTCTAAACCAAAATTGATTTTTTTACCAACCCGTTCGACGTCGTGAGGAAACAGGCCAGATCCGAAAAAAAATGAAAATATCACCCATGGTACACGTTTGGGTTGAGGCGACAAGCTTAAACTAACAACATATGGCTATTTGGTTGCAAAGTGCTACTGACTGTGAACCGAATTAAACATAATGGTGTGAAATACGTTAAAATTAAAAAAAAAAATAAGGAATAAAATTGGACATATCTGTGGACTACCAATTTTACCTCTTAATGCATGCTTAATTCTATCGTTTGAAAACATTCTGGCTACCTAGGAACCTCTTTAGACATTAAAGCCAAGTATCATGTTTTAAAATACGTCAATTGTACAATCGACTTGGAAAGAGGATCAATCCCACTTCTTTCAATGTCTCACTTGCTAGAAGATTACCTTAGAAATCACCGCACAGGTCTGAACAATCTATTTACTTTACATACATGTATATATAAAGTAGGCATGAAACACAGAAGAAAATGCACACATGTGCCTCGGCATTTGCATTAGTTTTGTGTGTGAGAAGAGGGTCGTCTTCTTCACTTAAACACGTTTTCTTTCCCATCCAAATTAACAACGATGATTGGACAGGAGCCCACCTTACCCGGAGGCTGTGCGGTTCCGCGTGAGGGGAGACGGGGTCTTCCATTAGGTGTGTGCTGAGCCTGAGGGACTAGTTGATGGCTGGGGAGCAGCACTCGCCGGTGATTTGCACAGTTTGTAAGCCAACCAAAATAAATTACTATAAAGAGGGTGCGAAAACGTCTGCTGAAAAGGTAATAGGGGATGATATTGATCGAGGCATTGAGGATAACGAAGAGATTGCCAACTTCGTTTAGAATTATCCAGGGTTCCGACTGGTTCTGTCGATAGCCATGGATGCCCCACATGACGTGGCTCACTGACGAGGGAATCTACAAAAATGGAAACAATCTCCATTTTCGCAACTCATTTTCACTTAAGACAACTGTAAATTTACTCGAGACTGAAAAACATTTACTATTAGCAGCGGAATGTAGAGGGACCAAAGGTACAGGTAAAATTGTGGTTAGTTGTTTTCTCAAAGTGTTCAAAACAGAAGTAAACTATTGGAAGAATGGTGTTGTGCAACATACATGGATTTAACCATAAAATTATAAACCTATCGAGCACATGTTAGACCATTTATGACCGAGGCAGTTGTTTATCGCAAAATGCATCAACCAGCGTTATGCTTTGGAATTTATTATCCCAGCTCAAACGTGACAGAATCACCCATCTCAAATTCCCAATTATTTGATGCCGAAATCACACTTTCAGTACTAAAGCACAATATTTCATCTAGCACAAAGTTAACAAAAGCAAAGAATAATTTTTTGAAGTTTGCACATCTCGTTGGAGGCTTGGTTACCGTTGTGACAGTTCTTTTATTCAAAGTTGTTTTGTGGAAGGCCTTGCGCACTTTTGAATTCATCGATCTTGAAAAAGTCGCATACATGCACTTCGATGCTTCCCTCACATCATAACAAAGCTCACCAGCTGAAAGATGTCAGCCTCGTAAAAGGGCAGCTCATGCTGAACTGCTAAAGGTATTTTCAAAACCAAGTTTAATCGAAAACTCGCCAACATTTTACTATCGAGTTCTTAAAATCCTACCAAACAAAAGCATTTCCGCTAGGAACTAAAACCCATATAAGCGCTTAGTTGACTCAACCCATAAACTGGGTTGTTAATGGAGAACTCCATAAAAACGTGGAATAAAGTACGTCATTTAAGGGAAGTATGATTTTAAATTTGGGCACGATTTGCGCTAAGTCAATCACCTTCAAAGACCGCGTGGAAGTGATTCAAGGGAATATAAGTATGTAGACGCTGGCTGACCTTGCGCGGCGGTGTTAAATGAGGAGTTGAATTGACAGCGGATTTAAAATTGTGCCATTCACATACGCACCCACGAATATCGGCTTACATCCGCATCAATAAGTAAGGAAGTCGCAGTAGTCAAACCCGCCGCTTTATGGAAATATAAGTGGGCGCAATGTAATCCGTCAGCAAATCGACATCGCAATCACATAAAACAGACGTGCGCATTAGTGTCCGAAAATGAAGGAGCCATTTACTTCAATTTTCCCGCGAAAAGCATAACAAATGCATGCCTGCCGGTATGCTTATGGTTTTGGTGATGTCAAGGCACGCCATCTGGATTAACGAAAACGTTGACATCTGGTAAAAGCGGTCTGTAACTCTTAATCGGCTTCCTTGCTATTTCTTACTTCGAAAGACTAAATAGTGAAGGAAGCACAGAATAGCCCAACTAAAGTAAGCAGCATCTTGAAAAGGTAAAAGTATCGCATGCCTTCGCTTTATGAAGCCCTGCTGCAAAAAATGTACCCAAGAAGAATTTATGGAGAGATGCAGAGTGGAATTCACTGCACAGCTGAGATGTGCTAACTAGAACCGCCGAACTACATTGCAGGCCTCTGATATCGTTTCGCTTGGGCACACTTATAAACAACAAGCTAGGTGTAATGAAAAATACGGGAAAGATTGGTAACTCCTTCTTCATTGTCCCGCACAATACACTTTTGATGATTCATAAAATAACAAAGTGAAATACAATTTAAAAAGTGTTAACCTCAAGAACAATGCTGAAGTAGCGGTTGAATATGTTTTATATAAATTGTAATTTTTAAAATTTTAATATTTTCAGTTCCCGTAAACGTCAAATTAAATGCCATCATTAATAGAAAAAAACACTTTAGGTGCGTTTAGTGACCTGGAATCACGATTACCAAGTAAGGGGTTAATGGAGAGTTACAAAGCGTCATATTTGGTACCACCTGGTGAGGGAAGGCACTCTATTAACAAGTAAGGTAATGCCTAAGGTGCACAACACGAAATTCGTCTAGCAATCTAGCTCCATCCGTTTCAAATTGGAATATTTGGGGATTAGAAATTGAAAGTGTGTCAACTTAAAACTAGCTTTGTTTAGCCAACCAAAAAATATGCACTTGCTGAGTCCTAGTAAAAGAGGTTGACAGAGCGAATTAATAAGAGCAAGCTTGGCAATACAGTCATCTTCCTTTGTACAATTTTGGTTGGCTAAAGAAGGCAATTAGTTAAAACATGGGCTGTGGTGCGGTTTTAGAATCTAAACTATTACCTGTAACAAAAAAGAGACATGGCAACCCACTTTTGCAACTTTACTGAATAGCCTCTCGTCAATCTTTAGGCAAATGAGATCATGAAGGTGTTTAGTAAGTGGTTTGCACGGCGCCGTAAGCACTAAAATTGGGCGTTCATTGTATTCGAGCTTAGCAATTAGTGACACGGTAATTCATGATTCGCATCTAAGTCATAAGTAAAGCACTTTCCAAAGTAATCCTCCAAAAATGAATTTGTGCCTTGAATCGAATTGGCTTCAGAGCAGAAACAGACTAGTCAAGCTGTGATTGGTCGCGTCGACACACATTGTCATAAGTACACACATTTCTGTGCCTCTTCGATCCCTATTTCCAAATAAATGCTAAGATCGAGAGCAAATAAAAGCGTTCTATGTGAGTACGTACACCATAAAAGCGTTTTATTAACTTTTGTTTATTTACTTTGGCTTAGGGCAAAAATACACAACAAACCCTTTCCTACAGTTAATTAGGGAAATTACTGGTTGCCCGCAATAATGAGGTGAGTTAAGAGTGCCGCTTTGTCTAGAACGTCCCTCCTCTGCTGAATGACCACTTTTCCGTTTGTGGATCCTGATGCGATGTCTGGATTTGGTAGTTTTAAATCATTTTAAACCTCAGAATCACCGTAGGTATTTTTAATTTGAGATCGTTTTTAAAAAAAACATTTAGAAGTTAGATCCGGTTTACTGTGACCACTTCAGGTTCATAAGCACATCTGTCTACTTAATCCCATCCTTTTCGGCCAAAAAAATTAAACAGAAACGTTATGTAGCTTAGTGTTTAAGTGATAACAAAATTGAGTAAGCTGTAAAAGTGCCGTGTTTTGGCTTGAAAGAGAGGGGAAACCTAGGCGATCGTAAATTTGTGGTAACATTGGAGAAGCTACCTAAGTACTGAAAGAGGTGCTACATTTAACACCATAGTTACCTGGCAGACGAAGAAGATGACAATGACGCCAATTAGCATAACGTCAGTCTCATGCCGTCTAGTCTTCACTCCCTGCTCAAATCTCATGCGCTTGATGGATCGCTTTATTTCCCGCACGAGGAAGATATTAAGCACAGCGATGACAAGAGAGGGTATTCCGATTACCAGCACACACCACGCCCAGAGGTGGTATCCATAACGGAATGCGTTCGAGTCCCCCATGGCTGAGAGCTGGTACCAGTGGCTAGGCAATTTGAGAGGGGAGTCTTTTGCCATGGGGTAAGTGGTGGGTGTGAAGTAGACGTACTCGTAGAAACGCGGCAGCGTATAGCACAGACTTGCCAAGCTTACGGCGGCAATGACCAGTTTGCTAAGTCGAAGGGTGCACCAGCGTTTGGCGATGAAGGGGTGGCAAATCATCAAGTACCGATCAACAGTGAAAGCCGCCGTGAGCCAGTTAGAACATACCTAAAGATGAAAGCGGATCACTTTTAGGAAACCTTCAGTCTTAGATCGTCACAAGTAGCGGGTACTAAGGTGGTAATAACACTTGACTTGGGTATACACCCCTGACAAACCACTTCATACATTTAGGATTTCAAACACACAAGTGACCTGACTGGATGGGTTTATGAATAGAAATGCAGTATTTGAAGTTTCATTAAAAGCTCTAGCGGTTTATTTCAATTTCGATGTTTAACGATGGTCACAATACATCGTTAAAAATTTGCGTATTTCATATTACTCTCGGTGGAGTAAATGGTGTTTAAGTGGATGCCTATTGCATGCCACACCAAGTACATATTTTTAAACTAAATTATGTCAGATATTACGGATCTGGACTTAGTCGTAGAAGCAATCAATTACTCAACAGAAGTCATGTTGAAACTTGAAAAAGCTAAAACCATCCACAACCGTCTAGCTCAAACTCGATGTATATTTGAATCTGAGACGGTTTTGTGATAAATGACTGGGGATAAATGCTAACATTTCTTTCCTTCTAGCTGTCGGTATCAGAGAAATTACCGCAAAACGTGGACCAAAATATTCTAAACTTGTGCGTATCCCACCATCATGTTGTATCAAGCTGTCACGTTAACAGAGGAGGATTGTGGTCCGTTTAAACTAACAGCACTTTCCGTGATAGTAACAATGTTGTCACTCATTTCCACTGGAGCAATTCACGTTCAATTAATGAGGCGTAAACATAGGTAGTACTTTTTAATTTTTATTCCCGTGAAAATTTATCCCATAGAATGCACAACGACTAACAGATTGACGTATACTAAACAGTTTAGTTTTGTTCATTACTAAATTCTTTCCCTTTACAAACAATTTTCAGCTAAGCAACCCAAATTTGCTTTTGGATTCTGTACCATCAGTAAAAATCTGCATCCAATTTTCATTTAACTGAATAGTTTAAAGACGTTTATAAAATCAGATTTAAATTAGATAAGGGAAAAATGTCAAATCGGATTGCCGCTACCGCTATTAAACTATCTGTTTACGCCACAAGATAAGCTGAGCAATAACTCAAGTTGAATGTTTTGTGATTTCGACCATATAATCACAGTCCAACTATTAGACATATCAAGCTACTGAATATAATTTTAGATCAGGTTCCTAATAAGGGAGTTTGCGGTTGCTCTTCAGGGTTTCGTTATGATCAGAAATTTTTTAAACCTATTGGAGTTGAATTGTACAAACAAAACGATTCGCAGGTAGTTGAGAGTCTTGGTGAACACGAGCAATATGAATCAATTTAAATTATCCATTCCGCAGCTGCTATGCCGTGATATTAATTCATGGACCTATCGACGGCTAAGCCACTTATAAAAGGTCGTGTTGCAGTTCAACTTAAAGACAGCTCTAACCTCCAAACGTTCGGATCGGGTACTAAAAGTCACGCCCAGGAAAGAACAGAAATAAGGGAATGTCATTCTTGACCAATTATTGTGAAAATCAAAACTGAAAGCTGTAAATACGCCTGAGCTCAAAGCAAACGCGAAGACGGGTGAACTCTGCTTAAGTAGCACTAGTAGTCTTGCAACCTTCCCTGCGCAGCAGGACAGGTGTGGTGGTTATGTTGTGGTAGCGCAAAAAGATAGACATTTTGGAAAAAAGCAACCCCAATGCTTTTGCCGTCTACAAAAACTATTTGCCTGGGACAATTCCTTATCTCTAATGCACGCATAAATAGTAGAACATTAAATCGACGACCTTATAAATGAAGTGCTTATTGCAAACGCAAAGGAACTTCAAAAGAGCCCTAAACACGTTGTTATTTTTTGCAAATGATGTTGACTCTAAATTGTCTCTTGATTCAATAAAGTGTAAGTTTAAGAAAATTCGGTCTGTGCCCTGCTAAATGGATAGCTTACCGATAATATAGTATTTCGCAAACATCAAGAAAGTGGTTTCCATTAAAAGGACTTGTTTGAACCCCAAACTTAAAATCGCATCTGCGAGATGTTTGCAATGAAAAAAAACAGAAAATAAAACGAAGATATCACTACAATGGAGGACAATTAGGGCAATTTAGGGATTTCAACTACTTAGTTTAAACTAAGTCACTTTTCTTTCAAAAAGCAAACGAACCGATAGTATCTGTGCGCCTGGGTAGAAAAATTCTACATTGTCAGTTATTAGCAGAAAGATATCTGTTAAACAAGTCAAGTGTATCATTAAGTCGAATTGCGGTTTTTCGACAAAAGCCACCGCTAATCAGCTGTATGTTACAAAAATAAAATCAGTGCAAAATTGACTGATATGGTAATTTAATTTTAAGGTAAGAGTTAGAAAAATTTCCAGTAGAATCTTGGAGTATTACCTGAATCAGAATTAGCTCCAATACCTGCACTGTGATTCTTTAAAGCAATTAAATTTCACAAGGCGACGTCAGAAAAAATTAAACGTGGAATTGAATGGCTCGAGACGGACGGCGTGGAGTCGTCGTGCCCCCAATCCGAGGCGTGCAAGTGAAAACAGGGGTTGGTGATTGAATGTGAACATTATACGCCCAAACTTAATCACACAGCATGGCAAATTTATGCATCACACACCACTAAATGCGAGTTATCTCTGAGAAAACAATTAGCAAACGCCTGTAGCATCCAATAACTATTACAGACTACTTAAAAGGACATGTAAGGAAAACCTGACTAACACACGCAGTCATTTAGGAAGCATGTTTGAGACAAGAACGACTAGGAGGAATTGTTGGCCCATGTGTGCACCATGAAGAGTACTAAATTCAAAAGCGATACAGCCCTTCTATATTTTAAAAGATATATTTATGCTCAACTAGCGAAACAGACTCCTAGACAACGAGTGATGTTTACAATGATATTCACATTATGATCGCTTAGAATTTAGCTGTATTTAACGATGGTAATGTCTTCAATGAACAGCAGGAGTAGATTATCTTGCCTCGAACTACTGACAAAAAACACAATTTTATGCACGAAAAAGCACCTTAGTTTGGAATTCAAGCAAATTAAGGCTTTATGTTGTCAACAAATGATTCACTGTGGAATCCAGTTAGATAGCGATTTGTCCAGAGACCAGTATAAGCAGGCTAAGACGGCTAAAATGTCGTCCCATTTTTATGTCACATGACCAGCAGCCCACACATAAACCAATTCACATTTATTTAATGAATTTACTCACATATTGGTTGGTCGCCCATCAACAATATGGGAATGGGCCCTCAAAGGTCGCTTAACCACTCCAAGTAACCTCAACTCTAGACTCAAAAATTGTACAAGCACATTAGCATGCCAAAAGTATACAATATCGTGTAGCAAAATAATATGCAGTACTCCTATTGGTCTTCAGCAGACAAATCGTTTGAACTTAAAATAATAACCGACTGATACAATGTTCCAAGAGAACGCAGCATGCCTGAGAGCCACTTCTGTCAACTGAGCATCGTATGAAATAGTCTGGGGTGGAATGAAAAATAACCAAATTAAATGGGATAGAAAGAAGAATGTAGTTTGCCTAATATTTTTCTACTTTCTCGTGCTACTTACAAGAACACAATAAATCGAGAAGCCAACGTTTACGATAACACCATAGAATCATATAAGCAGACATTACGAGCCCGACATGACGATTCATCTAAGGAAGTACTAAAATGCACATAACTGGATTTGCAAAAGCCTTTTAACATATTTTGTGAAATCTTCACTTTCGTTGGTCCTCAAATAGTCAATGCACCGCTATGCATTTTTAACGAAGTGCAAAAACAAAAGCTCTTCCCGTGTGTCTCAAAAAAATCTGCGCAAACCCACAAATAGGCACATCATAAAAGCTTAACAATGTGTGATTGTTGTAGGGAAACAAAAAATACCCTTTATCACACTTCATTAGCGCCATTTTACGCCCCTTGAGCTTCCCCGCCACACGCGTCGAGGGACAGAATGCACCTTCGTCAGACAATGTGATTGTGGATCTATTTATCAAAATTTTACCTCGGCAGACGACAGTAAAAATTCGTGGACGCATAAATCTTCGGATGCGAAAGTCGGTATTCTTAACATCTCTCGTTTGCATTTAATATTTTAAAAAAATACCTTTTATGTTAGGTTTAGAAATTAATCGACCTAGGAGACACTTGACGAAACTTTGTCTGATATGAGCATTTACAGATAGGAATATATACAGTGTAAATAAAGTATTTCAACTCCAATTTTACGTAAGCTAGAAATAAACTAATACAAAAGATCACGACACTAAATAAGGACACAAAACATACGTTACGATCAGCACCGTATTCATGAGCCTTCTTAATTCAAGTGTGTCACTTAGTACCATTCAATTTTTTTAACAAAAATGCCACGCCGATCTGAAGGAGCTATCGTGGAGAAGATATTCGACGCCATATGACCATTATAAAAAGAAATATGAATTTGAGGTTCACCGTTTGCCAAACTACGGGCTCACAGAAATGTGCTTGGCACAAAAAAATGTAAAGTTTTAGCGTTATGGAAAACGTTCTTCGTGGATAGCAAGATCCTAAGCCGTAATTACTCGCATGGAATAAGATGATCTCTTCTATAGAAAACTGAGTATTTCGGCGTAGAACGTGAGCAATAGAGCAATTGCAAATACTCGCTGTTGTTTAAATGAGCAAAATAATAGTTGAAAAATGAGTTCAACCATACCGCCTCCCATGACAGCTGTTCTATCAATGTAAAAGTGTCCAGTATTAGACAAAATTCCGCTTCATAGACTTATTTGTAAATACCTTCGTCCCAACAAAAAATAAGTACTTAAGTGATAGTTCTGTAGGAGATTTGCACTTTAGTTAACAGCTTTACGTAATTTTGAAAGTTGTGGAAAAAACGTAAACAGGGTGTGTCGGTCGACCGTAAAACCTTTGAACCAGGTTTAGTTTTGAACAATGCACATTATTTACCTAAAATATGGCGCCATAAGTTAAATTCATTAGTCTGGACACGCAAATGTATCCTGAAACCTTGCGTAGCACCTGGTTTAAACACCATCTCATTTAGTCACAGCGAAGCAGTAACCATTTGTTTATACTTTTAATGTGTTAGTGCTGGAAAATTGACCAAAGTCCACT